CACACACACACACACACACAGAGAGACACAGAGACACAGAGGTACTGGCCTTGGAACCTGACCGGCTGACCGGACATGTGCCCATTCCGAGGAAGTCTTACCGAACCCTTCCCAACCCCCGGAGGTTCATCTCTCACCCCCTCCTTCCCCTGAACTCACAGGAAACAGCTGCTCCCTGGAATCTTGGGCCTTGTGGAACAGGCTGCCTAGCCCCAGCTGCTGCCCCCCACCTCCCCCCCACCCCCGTGCTCTTCCCACCTCGTGCCCTTCGTCCCAGCCCTCAAACCGAGAGCTTCAAGCTTCCAGCTCCCTCTGGGGGAACTTCCCCTGGCATTTGGTGGCGGGAAAAGGGCAGTCTGGGCTGCAGGCTAGCAGGCATGAGTTTCTTGAATGTGTGCAGGGCTTCTTCCTCCCCTGCTCCTCAGCCTCACCAGCCCCTTACCCGCGTCACCCTTTCTTTCCTCCCGCAGATGTCCCAGGGTGTGCATCAATGTACCTCCACCCAGAGGGCTTCTCGGGGCCCTCTCCAGGTGATGGGGTGATAGGTAAGGCGCCTCTTCCTCTCCTGGCTAAGGCCTCCTAATTTTGGGGTGGGGGGGGTCCTTGCTGTCAGGGAGAGTCACTCCACCTAGGAGTTCCTTTGGATTCTAGGGGGTCTTCAATCAGTGAACCCTAAGTCCTGAGCAATCCCCAACTTTCTCCACAAGGTTATGGCTATGAGAAATCTCTTCGACCATTCCCAGATGATGTCTGCATTGTCCCTGAAAAATTTGAAGGTCAGACAAGTGACTGCATGGGAGGGTTAGGGCCTCTCCACCCCTATCACACTGGGTCCTGTAAGAATCACATTTCTTTGTTGGTAGAGATCGGAACTCTCAGGAAAGAGTTTTGGGGACACCCCACGGGGAAGGGAAGGAGGTTGGTTAGGGGATATGTACCTCACACCTATTTCCACTTTCCCAGGAGACATCAAACAGGAAGGGGTTGGAGCTTTCCGGGAGGGGCCACCCTACCAGCGCCGGGGTGCCTTGCAACTGTGGCAGTTTCTGGTGGCCCTGCTGGATGACCCAACGAATGCGCATTTCATTGCTTGGACAGGCCGGGGGATGGAGTTTAAACTAATTGAACCTGAAGAGGTGGGTCTTGGTTGTTCCCACCCCTCCTCCGCAGCACCTTAGGAGCCTTGAGAGGAGAAACAGGGCACTTGCCTTCACCGGCATCCTCCATCTGCCTGACCTAGTTGCCAAGCCTGAGTCAGTTGTATGGTAACAAGTCTAGATTACACCAAGAATCTCAAATGCTCTTTCCACTCCTTTCCTCCCAATTTTCCTTGGAAATGGCATCTCCACCCAAATGCTTTGTCTCTTGTCCCTAGGTCGCCAGGCTCTGGGGCATCCAGAAGAACAGGCCAGCCATGAACTATGACAAGCTGAGCCGTTCACTTCGATACTATTATGAGAAAGGCATTATGCAGAAGGTCGGACTGAGGTCTTAGCATGGCCATGAGGAGAGATCAAGGGAGGGTTAAGAGGAGGGAGGGAGGGAGGAAGAGAGAGAGGGAGGGAGAGACAGGGAGTTTCTTAGGTTTGTGGGAACAGAAATTATAAAACCCAAGGTTCCTCTGTGAAGTTGTTAAACAGTGACTGGGCTGTTCCAAAGCGTGCTGGTTTAAAGAAGAACCAGTGTGGAAAAGCAAGGGAAGGGGTTCCTGGTGTGTTTTTGTGACCTATGAGAAGGACGGGATCCTCTACATTCCCTACTGAGGCAGGGTATGCATGTTGGCCTGACAGCCCTCTCTCCACAGGTGGCTGGTGAGCGCTACGTGTACAAGTTTGTGTGTGAGCCCGAGGCCCTGTTCTCTCTGGCCTTCCCGGATAATCAGCGTCCAGCTCTGAAGGCTGAGTTTGACCGGCCAGTCAGCGAGGAGGACACAGTCCCTTTGTCCCACTTGGATGAGAGCCCTGCCTACCTCCCAGAACTGGCTGGCCCTGCTCAGCCCTTTAGCCACAAAGGTGGATATTCTTATTAGGTACCAGTGGCTTTCCCTTGCCATGGGTGGGGCTGCCCGATGTACATATCAACAGATTCGGCGTTGGGGAAGCCCTCATGTTGATGCCCATACAAGTCTCTGGGGTCACATCGTCATTATTCCATCTTACTCCTGGCCAGACTCGGCCAAAAAGCAGTCTTCGGGAAGGACAGTGAGGCAGGACAAGTCTAAAGGCAGCAATGAATTTGCTGTCATTCACCTCTGCCCTCAGGGGTTCAGCTTGGCCACCCCACCACAGAGAACCAGTGCTTGTTCTGTTCTGGGGACAGACAAAGGGGCTTCCTAACTTTATTATGGCAGCAGGGCCAAGGGGGTTCCCAGAACACCCCACTTCTCCCGCCATGGGAGACAGAAGCCTGGGCTCTGCCCTGAGCTGGGATCCTGTGTTCTTGGTGCTGTGCTCTGGGAGGCAGGAGCAGGTGGGAGGCAGCTGGGGTGGGTGTTGGGTGGAAGCAGGGACGGAAGGGGACCTCCTCCAAGGGAGCCTCTGGCACCCCGCCCTAGGTGTGCCTATGCCTAGCTCCACCTTCACCTCATCTGCCAGACCTTAATAAATGCCGCTGCGTCTCCCGTTAACTCTGTTCGCTCTTTGCAAGGACCTAGGGTGGGTGGGAAGAGCTATTGCCGGGAAGCAGATGACCAGTGTTTGAAGTCTGTCCCAAGGCCTTATATGATGACATGTGATGACACCCTGTTCCTGGATTCTAGTTTAGGCCCTCCCCTGCAGATCTGGAGTAAAGCAGTTCCCCTCCGGCTGTTGATTTTCCTCCAGAAAGTCAACTTCACGAAATCTCTTCCCCAGCCCAGAATCCTGTAAGGATCCAGAAATGATGGAGAGGGTACTTTTTAACCCACATGGGTACCCCTGACTATCCCTTGGCTGGCCTGTCCCTAGGAATATAGGAATATCTTCAGGGAGACACTGGTCTGTGACTTTGTGATCACAGTTGCTCCCATGACCAGGAGACCATGTTTATCCAAGCTTCGAGTCTTTCCCTCTACAAGCTCCAGGTTGCTGCTTTTACTGGGGGCAGGGACAAGTGTTTAGAGAGTGGGAAAGGAGAAAGTTGCTGCAGGGGAGGAGGTGACAGGGGCTTCTGGGGAGGCTCTTGAGGGGGTAGTAGTGGCAAACATCCTCCTAAGACCAGTCTTGGGATGGAGAAACAATGTATGACTGAAGAGCTGTGGCAGGCAGATCAGGGAGGGACAGAATCTATCGAGAGCCAGCTTTCCAGAACTCGGCTCAGTTAAAAACAAGCCCGTTCAATGGAAAGCCAACTGCTATCCACAAATACAAGGCACCACTTTTTCCTAGAAACACCAAAAATCAAATGTACTGACTCAATTCAGAGCAAGAGACAGAAAAGCAGTTGGGGGTAGGGGGGGAAGTTAGACTGAGCAGGATGACTCACTGGGTAAGGGTGCTCCCTCCAAGCCTAACTACCTGAGTTCTATCCCCAGCATCCACATGGTGGAGCAAGAGAACAAATTCCCTATGGGGTGTTCTCCAACCTCCACACATATGCATATAGTGGCCAAGATTCCAGTTCTGTGCACAAGACCCACATCCTCTCTTGGGCTCTCAATCTTAGGAAATACTGGCTGGAGAACCGAATGAGACAAGAGCCTGGAGAGATGGCTCAGCTATCAAAAGCCCTGGGGACTCTTCCAGCGGAGCTGGGTTTTATTCTCAGCACCCACGACAGCTCACAACCATTTGAAACTCCAATTCCAGAGGAGTCCCTTCTCTGGCTTCTGCAGGGACCGGAGATGACATACAGGTGGTACACAGACATGCCTGATACAGGCAAAACACACATACACATAAAATACTTTAAGCAAATTTTTCCTAAAGAGACAAAACTGGCCTAGTGATACACACATGTAAACCCAGAACTTGGGAGGCTGAGGCAGGAGGACCATCATGAATGCAAAGGTAGCTTGGACTATAAAGTAAGATCCAGTTTCAAACACACACGTGGAGAAGGATACAGACAGAAATCAGGATCAAGGGCCCCACTGTCACTGTGGACAGGCCAGCTCAACCCCCAAAATCTCAGAGACTTCTCAAGGTAGTCTTGGCCTGTAGTTGAAGTAGCTATTCTGATGGGGTACTGTCACAGCAGAGAAGTGACCCCAGCTCTCAAGTAGACAAGGAAGGAATAAGCAGAGATACATCCATAATCAGCCCTGTGGTCCTAACCTATTAAAACACCCTGGCTGGGGCTGGGGCTGGGGCTGAGTATGGAGGACATATATTCCTATGAGGGGAAAATGGAAAGCAGAGCGGGAAGAGAGCAAATATAGGAAAAGGGCAACAATACGGATGTTAGCTTGGCCTCACGCAAGGATGACGGGCGCAGTTGTCAACTGCCAAGTGTTCTATTAAAAAGACCAGGAACTGGATGCTGGGTTCCTACTTCTGTTTCATACAGGTCCTCACTGGGTGACATCTAAGGACACATACTCTGCCCCTCAATGCCTGATCTATGTTCCTGTCCCTTGGATTTTCAGACTTGTCATCAGGGTGGCTTCTTTGCCACCAGTTACTACACACTGTCACATACCCAAGAATGTTGTAGTCTTTTGGCATCTGGCCTACCACTCACTAGTTAATTTACTTACATTTAGAAGTTGCTAACATGGGATGGGCTGCAGGAAGAATGCCATGGTCTAGGATGGGCCCAATATCCCCAGGGCTCCTCAGCAAGCTCCAGTCTGACTCAGCAGGACATGACAGTCTCCCTTTAGCACAGCACCACCTTAGTTACTCTAAGGGGGCACTAGGAAAAACCACTAAGAGGAATGAGGATATGGGTCACTACCCAGAGCATAGGTCTCATCAGCACACACCAGCTGAGAGGTGTTCTGCTTGCTTTCTGCTGGCAATGATGGCAAGGGAGGCTTTGCTCAGTCCATTGACTTCAGGAGGAAAAAACAGAAACAAACCACAAACATTGTCATGGTGTCACTACTTGCTATGTTTCAAAGGAAACAGAACACACTTCTCAATGGGAGTGTGACAGGAAGGGAACAGAGGATGGAGGAAAACTGTGTTCAGACGCTGCATCGCTGACCACCAGGCACCAGACTTTAGTACTCTGGCACAGATTTGGTTAATCTGGAGCCATGTGCTGCAAGGCTGAGCCAGCTCCAGTGGTGCTGAAAGAGACTGGAGGTCTGGCCCAGGGAGGCCTGGGCTTTGTTGTTAGGAGACTCTCTGCCATGTGCACCACTCTGAACTCAGGCCGAGAGCCTGACATTTCAGCTGCCCCTCCCAAAAGAAAAAGTCACAATAAACTATTATTTCCTTAAGAAAATAAATATTTCCAGGAGGTAAAAAATCCAAGTACAGAGACTGGGGAGGGAGTAGGGAGTGAGGCCAACATGGTTCATGAGTGTCACAGTTCATTCCTTCAGCAAGCATGAGCTGGGGTATCAGGGCCCTTGCTGTGTGTCATACATCACAGACACTCCCCCTTCCCATCCCAGGATGCATAACTTGTCCAATCTGTGTGTGTTGTGTGTGTATGATTTTTCAAGACAGCATTTCTCTAATGTGTAGGCCTGGCTGTCCTGGCACTCGCTCTGTAGAGCAGGCTGGCCTCC